ATTAACCAGCAGGTCACATATCACTATTTTTTACCCAATTATTTTACCAAACAGGCCTAAACCAACCTCATCAGAATCACAATATTCAGTTCCAGTTCAGGTCTGTATTGAATCAAAATTATTTTGAATATAAGTCCGATTTTTCAAAACCAGTCAATTTAGCTCTTTCTGACCTGTTTAAACACCAAGCACAACAACGACAGCCTCATAAACAGCAAATTGAATGTCTGAGCATGGAAGTTTTTCCACTTTCAGGCTTTTGAAAGGTCACCATGGAAGGAACATTATTTTTTCAACATAAATAGAGAAATCAGCAGAAGTTTAAGGAACCATGTTTTCCTATGCCATTGAAAGTTCTCCCATTAAACTCACTGAACAACTCCTATCTAACTCATTATAATGGCTAAAAAATACATATATCAATGAAAATCACATTAAGGTTTTGTTTGGGACGACTTTCCTCCTGCTTCTTAAAACAGCTTTTTAATACAAAAGTTAGAAATTTTTAACTAAAAAGTTGCTTTAAGAAGCAGCAAAAAAACCGTCACAAATGAAGCCTAAATCACCATAGCTGTGCACAAGTTAGTTGTGAGTAGCATAACTCTAGAAATTAAACGAATACATGACAGAGGATTGGCAATTTGGCATCATCAATGAATCTGAAAGACAGTGGTGATTCGTTTACAAGGAGATAAAAAACCATTAAATAGAAAATATACCAGCGAAAGCAGGGTCTTCCCTATATTTCCATAGAAGTTTACCCATGTATCTGCATGACAATAAGAGTAGGTAAATGAGAACATAATTACAAAACAGAAGATCAATTGAATGGACCTTCTGATTGAAAAGCTTGGTTGACATACTTTGGTCTACAGACTGCACAGCCATTTGGACAAAGTTCAGCAGACCCCCAGTTAGATCAAGTAAAATATTCCCAATGCTCCATCCTACTGTGCTCTTGCGTTTGAAGTTCATGAATGCCTATAATAGCAACTCTGGTGATCAACAAATCTATAGGCATAAAAGGAAAAAAATTATGTCAGGAGCCCGACTTAAATATCGTGACACCTAACATTAATCATGTATTTGTCAAAAATTTAATTATGTTTCTGACTTTATGACTGCGCCGCAAGTGTCCATATTTCATCTAAATATTGTTTAACTTTATTTTTTTGTCTTCAAAACAATTATAATTATCCTTTTTTTCTTGTAAATATGCCAACATGAGAATCTTGTGGGCACAAAATATCTTCAAAATTTAATATTTTATCTTTAAAATGGCCACAAAAATCTTTATTTTTTTATAAACTTTGGATTAGAAATGAATTAGTTAAATACATGATTTGGACTTTTAAATACCATGTATCGCAATTTTAAAATGTTATTGACTGGAAAGAGGTCAAAGGGTGTCCAAATTCTAGCAACTTAAAAATAAAAAACCGTAAAGGAGTTCTAACATTTGCCCTGATTTACAATTGCCTAGAGTGAATGAAAATAAGGGAAATAGGCAATTCTTTAAGTTTCGATGCTAAAAAAATGAAAAGAATGTTCCAAACAAATCGGGATACATTAATAAATAATAAAAATAAAAATATTGAAAAAGCCTTAAATCATAAAGAAATATGATATTCATTAATGGAATTGAGTAAACTAAATGTGGGCTGTAATACATATGTATGGACAATATTTTAATCATATAATATAATGCCAAATGACTCAAGTTTAGGGTTCTCTACAACAACAACAACAATATCAAGCCTTTATCCCACTAAGCGAGGTTGGCTACATGAATCCTTATTCTCCATTATGTCATGTTAAAAGTTAAACTCTCATTTAAATCTAATAAATAAATGTCATTTCTAATATTTTCTAACCAAGTAATTTTAGGTCTACCTCTACCTTTCTAAATCGGCTGCATCGGCGCCCTGGTGCAGTGTTAAATAGGAAAGGAGTCCTGCGTCATGGACGGATGTGGGCAAAGAAGCTTGTTCATGAAACTCAAATTAGGATGAGAACTTGGAATATAAGTACTCTTACAGGAAAATTAATGAAATTAATAGATATTATATTACATAGGAAAAAAAATCTTCTCTGCATTCAAGAAACTAAATGGGTTAGAGAGAAGACTAAGGAAATTGATAGTATAGGATTTAAACTATAATATTCTGGTAAGAGTCGTACTTGAAATGATGTAGGTGTGATTATAGATAAGAGTTTAAAGGATAATGTTATAAAAATTAATAATATTGAAGATAAAATTATAGCTTTAAAGATTGTTGTTGATGCTAAGATTATTAATATTATAAGTGCTTATGTTTCTCAAATATATTTGGATATAGGTTCAAAATTAAAATTTTGAAATGACTTCTAATAATTAATACAAAATATACCTCTTGAAGAAAAAAAAATTATTGGAGGATATTTAAATCGATATGTTGGTAGAGAGATAAATGATTTTAAAAGTTTTCATGGTGGCTACGGGTTTGGAGTGACTAATAAAGGTGGTAAAGACATATTAGAGTTTTTTTAGTTTATGATTTTGTAATTGCTAATAACTTATTTAAGAAAAAAATGAGCATCACATCACTTATAAGAATGGATATAGTATAACTCATATTGATTATTTTCTTATAAGAAAAATAAATCATTTAGATTGCAAAGATTGTAAAGTTACTCTAAGTGAAAGTTTATGTACTCAATATCGCTTATTAGTTTTGGATTTTAAAATGAAGGGACATAAAATAAAAAAATAAAGTATAATGTTCTTCTTAGATTAGATGGGGGCATTTCAATAATATTAACAAAAAATATTTTTGAAATTAAGATACTAGATCTTAAGATTTTGCCAGTGCATTAGAAAACTGATTTTAGGCAGGAAAAAATAGCTAGTAATATTAAAAATATTGTAAAATATGTGTTTGAAGTATCAAAGGGAAAAACTTCTTATGATAAAAAATAGTGAGTGGTAGAATCAAAATGTGCAAGAAAAGATAAAAAAAATAAGAATATTTGTTATAAAAATTGTTTTAGATGTAAAAATCCTGATAATGGGAAAAGATATAAAGAGACCCGTAAGAAGTCTAAGAAAACAATATGTGATGCAAAAATTTTAGATCTGAATGATTTATATAATAGATTAGATAATTTAGCCAAACATAGAGATAAGAGTCGTAAGGATTTAGTTCAAATAAAGTATATTAAGAATGAAGATCAAAAAGTGCTTTTATTAGAAGAGGATATTCAAAAAAAGTAGTTGAGATATTTTTTTAAACTCTTCAATGAAGATTATAAGAATGTGATTGACTTTAATGGCCTTAGCACCCTAAATGAAAACAAAAATTTTTATTTTTATCGGCGTATTAGTAAAAAACCAAAATTAGAAAGACTTCAAAAAAATGAAGTGTGAAAAAAGTTGTTTGACCTGATGATATACCAATAGAGATGTGAAAATGCTTTGGAGATGAAGGAATTTCTTGGCTTACTAAACTTTTTAATATTATTTTGAAGACTAAAAAGATGTCAGATGAGTGGAGAATGAGTATGTTGATTTCTATTTTTAAGATTAAAGATGATGCATAAGATTGTACAAATTATAGAGAAATTAAGTTAATGTGTCATACTTTAAAACTATGGGAGAGAGTTATGGAGCATAGGTTGCGGCGTGATACTAATATTTCTCAAAATCAAATTGGATTCATGCCGGGTAGGCCTACTATAGAAGCTATACATTTATTGAGAGGTTTGATAGAGAAGTATAGAGAGAATATGGAGGATCTAAATATGATATTTATTGATTTAGAGAAAGCATATGATAAAGTTTCAATAGAAGTGTTATGGAGAATTCTAGAAAAGAAAAGGGTTAATAGTGTTTATATTCAAGTCATTAGGGATATGTATGTTGGAGCTGCATGGGCTCCAAAAATTCGGCCCCGGCCTCCCCACTGCTTTTCAAGGGAGCTTTAACGGATTAAGTTCGAGGGTAAATCTTGGGAAAGCATATTGGGTTCGTAGATAAGACACTGCCAGAGATTTCACCCTTATTTTGCGAAGGCTTTATGATATGAATTCTGGTTTCCTATAGGCGCAAGCCCCTATAGTTAATTACCCCTCCCGATAATGAGAGAGAACTTTCGATTAAGGCTAGTCATCAATCAGATACGTTGTATCCATAGAACCAAGTGGTTTGCCACCAAATGGCACTACTAAATTACGGTCATGGCCAGAGCCCGTATGTTCCCCAATGGCATCAAATTCTTAAGATATGAATCAATAGAATATAATCGATAGGGAAAAAAGCCCTATATTAGCTAAGGTGGATTCAAATTTATCCCCTTAAACAAATACCCATCCCAAGTCTACAAGGTACCCTTAGACGAAGCAACACATGACTGCCGATAAGGATCTTCTGCCAGGTTGGGTTCACTACATCCTCTGACTAAGTAGATCAGGGACCATAATGAATCAGGATGACGAAACCATGATATCTTGATCGGGTCCATCATCTATTCCCCCACTATCCGCTTTAAGTGCAAGATAGTGAAATTTCTAATTTTAAATATCAAATCTCCAAACTTTTCAATTTTGAAATCCCATGTTGCTACTATATGCCAAATAACACACATCTCTATGTATCTAATCGACGACTAGCCTTAATCAAAAGTTCTCTCTCATTATCAGGAGGGGTAATTAATTATAGGGGCTTGCGCCTATAGGATACTAGAACTCAGATAATAAAGTTCTCGTAAAATGAGGGCGAAATCTCTGGGTAGTGGCTTATCTACAAACCCATCTGCCTTCCAAAAATTTACCCCGGAACTTAATCCGTTAAAACTCCCCCGAAAAAAAAAACGGGGAGGCCGAGGCCGAATTTTCAAATTTCACAGTATATAAACCTCACTTAAAGTTATCCTTCAAATGTACTCATACTAGTCCCACTTGCACAAAAACTGCATGCCAGAAGAACTGACATTCTTACCTTAGCTAAGGCAAAGTTATCCTTAAAATGTATTCAAATGTACTTAGAATATTTTAATCAACGTTTGAGTCACAATGAATCTCAAAATTATTGAAATTATTCTAAGATGAATGTAATTCAATTTTTGACTATTCAACTCAAAATAAATTCAACAACTTTTAACATTCATCTTAACCAAACTTTGGTTAGCATGTCCTGACCCAATTTTTTTATGCAAATATCAGGCATCTAAGAATATAAACCTTTGCACCATTTAGAGAAAATAGGACAGCTAGGAATTTTGTCAAAGCAAACCTTGCAAGAATTTTACAGCATACTCAATCAAGTGCGTTTCAAGTATTAGAGTCCAATATTCATGATGCTTTTCGCTATCAATAGTTCTCCAACTTCTCCAAAATAAAAGTCGTAAATCGTTTCTATGATCAATATATAAGTCAAAAATGGATTTGTACGGTGCTTTTGTTATAATCATTCTCCTAACAAAAACTTGAGGGCATATGACAACAGTAAAACAACAAAATCAAGCAAATATCATGAAACAGTGAACAAGAGAAACACAAAGAACCCTACCTGGGGAATGTACTTGATCGCGGTCATGACGACTTGTATGGTGCTGAAAATGTGACATATCATAAATAAAAAAAGTTAAAGAACGTGGCCATTCAAGTGAAACAATTGCTCAAATTGGCAATTAAATGGTATGCATTCATTCAATTTGAAAATCAAGATTATCAAACCCAGCTGACTAATAATTATTTTGAATTTTAAAGGCCACCCTTTGGAAGAAAATTGCTTACTTGAACACAGAAATAAGCCATAGCCAAGAAAGCTTAGGCCAGGCAACAATCAAGCAAACTAAAGCAGCAGCCCAAGTGGCCGAACTGATCAGTATGCAGCTCTTTGAGACATTTTGATTTCCTCGCTGTACTTGCAAAATTAGAGTCATGATAATTCTTAAATCTTTTAAACATGATGGCATTATCATGAAAGGTAAAAATGTTGAAGTGGCAGAGGAAAGTACACTCACGTCATAAATCAAAACTTGCAACAATGTGAAGACTGTCAATAAAACTGCATGTATTGAGAAAGCAACATCATTTGCTGCTACAGGAATCATCTGTAGGAAGGGAAATTATGCATCCAAATTAAGTAAGACAACACTAAGATGAAGGCAGACCTTTGACAAGCATTTTGGAAAGAAAATAGCATTCTTGTGTAAGGATCAATAAATGAGAAAAACATGATAATCAAGAGAACCGGAAATAATCAGTTCAGAGATAAGAACATATATACCAAAAAATCCCTTCAGTGGGAGACCTCAACATGCTCTGATGTCAAAAGGACTGAGAAGAGTAGTTTCAGAGATAAACGCATATCCTAACAAAACCCTTGAGTGGGAAATCTGAACATGCTCTAAAGGAATTCATTTCCAAGATCCCCAGCATACGCCAAATTCAGTTTATTTTGAAAAGAGAGCACCTCTATGGTGCCCAGGGCAATAGACACTTCAAAATTTTACTGAGTTAATTGAATTCAACCAAAATTTTAGTGGTGATGAACCATCAGAAGAATGTTGGAGAAATTTTGTCATCCTTAACGGATTGCATATTTTGTGATTAAGTATGACATTGAAAATAATATATTATTCCGAAGGATAAAAATATTATTTCGCTATAGACTCAATAATAAAATTTATTATTTTAATTTTAATATAGATTTTCTCCTATTCAATATTTGGTTGAATAAGATTTCTTTTATTCTGAGGTCCAGATGCCTCATAAGGGCAAGCCCCTATGATCAATTATATCTAAACATGCTCTGATATCAAAAGGACCGAGAAGTATAGTTTCAGAGATAAACGCATAGCCTAGCAAAACCCTTGAGTGGGAAATCTTAACATGCTCTGAAGAAATTCATTCCAAGATCCCTAGCAACCGCCAGAGCTATTAAGGCAATATCACATCGGCACCACAACACAAATTAAGTTTATTTGGAAAAGAGAGCACCTCTATGGTGCCCAAGGCAATAGATAATTCAAAATTTTATTGAGCTAATTGCATTCAACCAAAATTTCACTGGTGATGAACCATCAGAATAATGTTGGGGAAATTTTGTCATCCTCAACGGATTGTATATTTTGTGATCAAGCACGACATAAAAAATAATATATTATCCCGAAGAGTAAAAATATTATTTTGCTATGGACTCAATAATAAAATTTACTATTTTAATTTTAATAGAGATTTTTCCCTATTTTGGTTGAATAAGATTTATTTTATTCTGGGGCATAGATGCCCGATAGGGGTAAGGCCCTACAGTTAATTATATCTAAAGCATTTGTTACTTGAGAACACTTTTGATTAAACTAGTAATTTTTTATTTTAGAATCATCAAAACATTGACTAATCTTTTCAATTTTGAAATTTATGAAATTCTTATTCAAATATTTGATCTTTGGGAATTTCAAAGGATGAACAATCAACTTGAAATCAAATTTGAAATGAAAGTCAAAGGAATGAAATGTAGGAATACTTGATTTTGCGGAAACTTAGAGATACTCAAACTATCCTATATTGGGCTTTACATTTTAGAATCAAATTTTTGTTTAAGATGACAAATTTCATTTAGAATGTTGGGGCTTATATTCCAACAACACATGTTGAAAGAAATGTCCAAAAGGTGAGGGCTTATGAAGTGGTTAAAATGAGCAACAATCTCGGATCCTATAATCATGGTGAGGACTACTGAGGGGTAATGCCTCGAACCTTCATCTAACGGAGTGCAAGGGACTTACAAACTATAACTCACATAAGGCATTGCCAGCCCGACATCTGGATTTATTACCCTACATGAAAATGGCTACCAGCTAACCCACATAATTGTTTTTAAAACTATGTAATTCGGTCTTAAGGCATATAAAGAGTAGGGGGGCTTTTTTAATTAGAAGATAGGACTTACATGTTGACTTTTAGGCAAAGATTTCTGACCATGTGGGTATGCAAATTTGAGCTCCGAAAATTCACGCCCATGCCTCTCCAAAGCCTCTTTCTTTCTTCAGGTCGTTGAGGAGAGTTTTAACAATTAAGTTCTAAGACAATTTTTAAGGTGGATTGGGTTTTGAATGAAACATTACCCAGAAATTTTGCCCTCATTTTACGAGGACTTTATGATCTGAGTTCAGATTTCCTATAGGCGTAAGCCCCTATAATTAATTACTGATCTCGATAAAGAGTAAACTTTCGATTAAGGCAAGTTGTCAAACAGATACAAAGTATCGGGTGTATAGTAGCAGTATGATTTAGGTATTTGAAAATTTGATATTTAAAATTAAAAATTTTACCATCTTACACTTAAAGCAGATGGTGGGGGAGTGATGATAGACACAATCAAGATCACATGGTTCTATCATCCCAGGTCATCATGATCCCTGTTCTACTTAGTCAAAAGTGGTAGTCAACCCAATCTAATAGAAGGATCCTCATCGACAGTCATTAGTTACTTCGTCCAAGGGTATCTTGTAAACTTAGGGTGAATATTTATCTAAGAGGATAAATTTGAATCCATCTTAGCTAATAGAGGGTTTTATGCCCTATCGATTATGTATTGATTCATATCTTAAGGATTTGAAGTTATTAGAAAACATCCGGGCTCTGACCATAACCATAATTTAGTTGTGTCATTTGGCAGAAAAATCACCAGGTTTAGAGGATCCCGATCATAACTGTCTATATGTGGTTCTATTTGGTGGCAAAATCACCAGTGTGGTGCCATTTGGCGGCAAAATCACCGATTACAGCACATGTGACATGCCCTTACTGATAGAAGATGATTTGAGAATGAATCATAGTGATACTCTCGACCTGACATTCGCTCTGTATAAGCTGAAGTGATTTTCACATTTGTCCACCTCAACAAAACGTTGAGGAGGGTGGATGGGTATTTTGCTTTAAGTGCTTTGGTGTTTTATTTTATTTTAAATATCTTGATTTTGGTGACTTTTGGGTTTTTACTTTTGAGTTTTTGTGAGAATTTGAGAGGTATTTTTAAATACTTGGGATTCCCTCTAGTTGAGAGTTTCTGTCAATACAACCATCACTGGGGCACTTATAGGCAATTTTATTTTATTGATTAAACCTTGTCGACTCTGCCTATTTTTCAATAGAGGATCGATTCATTGTCAGCTTTATGCCTTTATTAATGAATTTTCTTTGTTATAAACCTTGAAGGTCTAATATAAACGTATAAAACAAATATCTCGGTCGATGTCATGATAGTATATTTATTTGATAGCTGGAGCCATGCCGGTTCCTATCCACCCACATAGAATGATTCGGCTCGAACATAGATTCATTTCTTGACCCGTGCAAGATCCTCACACGTTACGTATGTACTTATAACAGACTCGTCGGAGCCCATGTGGGTATATAGTTTTACATATATTTTGCATGATGTGCTTGTATAGTGGTTGTATGTGTGCAGATATCTATGACCAACATGCATATTCGCACACACTTATACCTTCATTTGTATATTAATATACTTGTATGAGCATTTATATATCTGCATATATGCATGTATGTTGGCGTATGCATTTGCATTTTGCTTGATATTCTTGATATGCACTATAGTGGTTTAGCTGTTAACATGGCGTATAATGCTTTTGTACATTATGCGTGATAATATATACATGCATTGTCAGTTTTATTTGCATGTTGATTCAGTACTTTCATGCAGCGCATGAAGCATTTGTATAATGACGTAGTGTGTTGTCGTTATGCAGTACATTTTGCATGTTGAATGACAAGTATGCAAGACGTGTTTTGTATTTTGCAACATGCATATGCATGATGTTGATGCATTAGTGCACATTTCGATGCCTGGGATGTTTCTGCAATATTCAAATATGATTAATTACAAAATTCCATTTAATGCCTTATATTTGCTTGTACGAGTGTTACAAATCCAGTGGTATAGCATTGCACTATGATTATTTGTTACTTCTTGTAGATGAGTTGTTGAGAAATGCACAGGGCTCCACTTAGGAATTTATAAATATCTTATGTCTGTTTGTATGCATGTTGCATATTTAGTGGCGTTGTTTAGCAGCGCACAAGGTCTCATTTCATTTTCTGTATATTACTATCTTCTTCAGTATTTAGCCTGTGAGGGTATATTTTTTCCTACAACGTGCTGCATAACGTATGAGGGCCTTCCATCAATCTTTTGCAGGTAAACTGATTTATTTGGCATGATGACCTGACTTCGTAAATTTATAGCCTCAATTTATCAGTGGCCTGTAGTTTTTATCATTGATTCCCTGCTTTGCTTACAGGTGAATCGTAGCATTGTATTATAGGTCAACCATTGCTTCTTACGGTCGAGCTAATTATACATTGCAAGCTTTGTTGGATTTTGTTCATCGGTGGTGCATCATCAGCAGGCGTTCCAAAGTTGTCTGCAAGTGGATTGCATTCAATGCATATTTTGCTCATAAGCTGGTTGTAGAGTTGCATTATGGGTTATTAGTTGCTTTATGCAAGTAGATTGTTGTGTAGTAATGAATTTCCTTTAAATGCTTGTGGATATTTGAACCCATCACAAGCTTTTATGTTTGCTTGTAGATAGCTCGTAGATATATGACAAGTATTCTATAACAGCTCGTAGATGATATCTAGTGTATATGGCGGGTCTCCTACAGAGCACATAGGCATTTGCATTTGTCGCTAATTGATCACATTTTGCTTGCAAGGGATCTGTGTATTCATCTTC